CAACGTGTAGCAAGAGCTATGGGAACGGAGGAAGCAACACTATGTGGCAATGTGCTATTTTCCTACACGTACGTGCCTTTCGATTTGATGGCCGCGAAACTGGTCGAGTGTTTGCCTGTAATGAAACTCAATTTATTCTTGTGACTAGTTCTTTCTTCACTGCGCCTCGGGGCGATCTTGACGGGGGAGGACTCGAAGGATCGTTGTAGAAGGCGAACCGAGTCTCTCGGTGGCGTCGCACTGGTCACAGAGCTAACACACTCGTTTGTCGAATAATGCGAACAACGGATTGCGATCGGCCAGCCATTCATTTCGTTCTCCTTCTGCTTCTTACGCACGTGCATAGCAAACTTAATTGCTCCAGGTGTGTGCTCAGTTGCGCTACGCCAGTCGTGCTTCGGCGTCACACTGTGTTTACGCTGGAAGCAGTCGATCGCACCGAAACCATTCCGCGCATGAGCTCGCGAAAAAAGAAACAAGTGTCACCTTCTACCAACGAGATGCACCCGTCATGCCGCTAGAGCCAGTCGAGACTCGCCGATCGTCCGTAGGTGAGCGGCGTCCGAGAAACTGGCAGTCGATCGCTGGTACCGTCTTTCGCGTCGCATCGACATGCTATTGCTCCAACGAATTCCGCAAATTCTTGACCGTCCGCCACGAACCGAATGCATTCAGATTTCGTGGTGACGGGCTACAAGATGTAACGGCGTCGCGCTCATAATCAGCTCACTCGCTGTGACGTCGACGTCGGTGTCCGAGCCGGTGCCATGTGCTCTGATCAGGCAATCCCGAGCTTGCACGCGTCAAGATGGCACAGCCCGATCTTTCTGGATTGTCGCCAGCCGATTACCCAAACGCGCGAAATGGCGCTAGGGGGCCTTTTCGCACGGCAGGAGCGTCTGCAAGTGACGGGGCGCGACTGAGGTCGGAGCATGGGGCCAAGCAGTGGATTCAAATCTCACAATCGTTGCCGCGTGGCCAGTTGGCCGGTTCGTGCGCCCCTTCAGCCGCTTCCAGACTTGCACGAACTCGTTGCCACTCAGACCACTCCGCACACTACGCGTGCGCCCTTTCAGACCACTTTCCATACACTCTGCTGTTTCTTTCCGCTTTCCCTCGCAACATCCTGACAGCGGAGACGGCCAGGCCATACCGCGTCAAAGTCCGAGTTTCCAATCTTTTGTACGGTCGGAAGAGGATGGGGCGGAAAAAAAACGATACCAGTCCACTCGACAATTGCTCGCGCAGATTCGCGACATGGCCAGACGAGCGCAACGAAGATCTCGAGCCAGTGAGCGTTCTTCTGGATTGTTTAACACGCGCCTGAGTCGGGCTGCGTTCTTCTGGATCACTTCTGATGCGTGACTATCTGAACGGCACAGACGCGGCGACTCGACACTTGATCGCGATGCAAGAAGAACAGTCATGTGTCGCCACGTCCACGGGCGAAGTCTCGTTTGCCATCATCTTTCCGAAAGCTGGCAGACACGACTGTCCGACGGGACAAAGCCAGACGTCTATTCCTGCACGTCTTTGGCAATCAGTGTCCTGCCTCAGTGCCTCGAAGACGCCCACACGGTGGTAGCATAGCTCTGCCGCAACAAAGTCGTCACGGCCACCAACGCATGCGAATATGGGAAGGCATTGACGTGGAAAAGTCGATGGTGGTATGTTATGCCCTACGATGTCGGAAACGATAGCACCACCAGTCGATAGAAGACATGATCCATTGGTATCGACATTCTTGTAACAAAGCACAGACTGACGTCCGTTGGCCGATGCCATCGCGGGGGATGAACGCAGCACCAGTTGACGTCGTGCAGAGATGCAAACTTGCGACGACCCTCGACATCTTCTGGTCGGTGAGATTGCTGCACGGGACCATGACCTGATGGTACAATCAATTGGTCTCTTGTTTGCTCTTCTTCGCAACGTCGTTGAGCTCGACGTACTGTGCATCGTCATCTGCCTGCGCTAGTCTTAACGAAGCTGCATCAGTCAGTTGCGTGAGGTAAATCGTCTGTGCCCGAGTGTCCGTCGCCCCAACTCTAGCACAACATCACCAAATTGTCACTGTTCAAATGCGTGTGCGTTCTCTTTTTTTTGCTCAATCGACCATTTCTGCTTCATCTGGACCAAATACTTTGCGCGTGGTACACAACCGTTTCGCACGAAGAGGCGGCTCGGCGGATCTGGTACATACCGCGGCATACCGGTTTGCGCTCAATTTGGCTGGTCCCCGCAGTCGAGAGCTGCGGCGGGACGATGGAGCAGTTCGACGGGGACGCACCGCGCAATCACGTGGAGGCAGAGAGCCGCGACGAGAAGAAGAGCCACCGCAAGGACAAGCCATGGGACAGCGACGACATTGACCACTGGACGATCAGTCCGTGGCAGGACGAGGTGCAGGACGAGAAGAACCCGGAGAAGAAGGTCAAGATGCCTGGACTGCTGGAGGAGAGCTCGTTTGCCACTCTGTTCCCCAAGTACCGTGAAAAGTACCTGCGCGAAGTGTGGCCGATTGTGACGAAAGCACTGGACGCTCACAAGGTCTCGTGCGAGCTCAATCTGGTGGAAGGCAGCATGACCGTGCGAACGACGCGCAAGACAACTGACCCGTACATTGTGCTCAAGGCGCGAGACTTGATCAAGCTGCTGGCACGCAGCATTCCTGTGAATCAAGCAGTGAAGATACTGGACGACAATGTCCAGTGCGACATCATCAAGATTGGTGGCCTCGTTCGCAACAAGGAGCGCTTTGTCAAGCGTCGCCAACGTCTCGTGGGCCCTGATGGTGCGACGCTCAAGGCTATTGAACTGCTCACCGACTGCTACGTGCTCGTACAGGGCAACACGGTGTCGGCCATGGGCAGCTACCAAGGTCTGCGCAATGTCCGCAAGATCGTTGAGGACTGCTTTGCAAACGTGCACCCGATTTATAACGTCAAGCGGCTCATGATCAAGCGGGAGCTGTCGAAAGACCCGAAGTTGAAAGGCGAAAACTGGGAGCGGTTCTTGCCTTCGTTCAAAAAGCAGAATGTGCAGACAAAGAAGCCGAGAAAGGTGCGTGAGAAGCGCGAATACACGCCGTTCCCGCCGGCACCTGCCGCCAGCAAGGTGGACAAGGAGATTGAGAGTGGCGAGTATTTTATGAAAGAGCACGAACGCAAGGCGATCAAGAAGCAGAAAAAGCACGAGGAGAACCTCCAAGTGCTGCAGAAACGCAAGGCCGATAAAATGGCCGAGTTTGTCGCGCCGAACGAGAAGGAAGCTGCAAAAGCGCGGAAAAAACAAAAGGCTGAGGCTCAAGAGGCGAACAAACGTGCCACGTCTGTCCAGGCTCTCAAGCAGAAGTTTCTCAGTCAGAAGGTGAGCAAAGTCTGCATTCGTGTATCTGCAGGAACATTCATTACTAACGTCGACAACCCTTTCTTCTTCTTGTACAGAGTGCGAAGACACCGTCTGATCGCAAGAGTGCTGCTACGTCCGTGAACGATTACGTGGCCCTGCCGTCCAAGACGAAATGAGACGGCTGATGCGTGACTAGACTATAAACGTTCATCCTTTGTTTTGCTCTTGCAGTGCAGTTGTCATGCTTTGATCGTGTGTGCTGCTCGCTTTCTACGGTATTGCGTATGTTATACAGCGCAAGTGCGACGGTAAACTAGCACTGCTGTACTTCGTGTGCTCATCACGGGAAGCATGCGCCTGCAAAAGTAGGGGCCAGGAGAAACGTGCCCATTTGCGTCCTATACTTGCACTATCCGCACTGCCTTCATGTAGTTATTGTCGCATGCAGCGGACATGTTGTAGCCGTAGCTAATGTCCGTCACCGGGAGATGCACAATCACAGCGCTTTTCATTTCCATCCAGCACTGTTGTGTATTTTTGATGACTGTGTAGATGTGACCTCGACCAAGTTGGAAGCGCATACACTGATGCGAATGTAAAACTGCTTCACAAGAGACGTATGGCGGTCATCGTTTCCTTCGCACGTCGTTCACCCGGTCTTGTCCAAGCTGTCGATTGCAAGCAACAAAGACCACGTCCCTCCCGCCAGGACAACTACAAGGCCCGTGAAAGCCCCCACAAGTCTCACGAAGACTGCGTTTCCCCATTCTTTGTTTCCTCTCCCCATAACTCCTCGTCCTCGTCCTCGTCCTCGTCCCCGTCCTCCATTACCACTCGCTGCCTCGTTCACTTCTCCCCCTTCGCCACAATGGCAGTGTACAATCCGCCGCACGCGTCTTCCAGCAGATCCAACACGTGGTCAAAGCCGCCAGTGTACCACGGATCGGGAACACACGCGACACCCTCAAACGCCGTGCAGTAGCGCGTCATCAGTGAGAGCTTCGACGCCGCGAGACGCCGACACGGCGCGCCGCCCCAGGCCTCCGCGGCCTCGAGCACAGCCGCCTCGTTGCGCTCGTCCATGCAGACGATGTAGTCCGCGTCGTCAATGTCCCGTCTCGTCAGCGGCCGCGAGCGCGACGTCATCGCGTAGCTGCGCTTGTGCGCCGCGCGGATCATGCGCGAGTCTGCTGCGTCGCCTTCGTGGTACGACGTACCGCCTTCGAGGTACCAGTCGGAGGCGCCGCCGCCGGTACCACACGAGTCGATGTGGATCGAAGGTGCCCCGGCGGCTTCGCTTCGAGCGACAATGCTCTTCAACACGGCCTCGGCCGCTGGGCTGCGGCAGATGTTGCCCAGACACACGAAGAGCACGCTCACCATAGTGGAATCCAGTCACGTGCTGGACGTGTCGACGGCGGGGGTCAAAGGTGGCGCGGAGGTTGTTCGAACTGGTTTCTGTTGCAGGCAGCCCATCGAGCAACCTCTAGTTGTTTATTTATCTGTCCACCTGTATGTGTTTATCTTTTCACCTGTATGCATTTAGCTGTCGACCTTTTTTATTTATCGGTTCACCGGAATGAATTTACTTTTCCACCATTAGTTTCTAACTAAAAGAAACGCCACAAAGTTTTCGGCAGGCAGGAGACATGGGCAAGAAGAAGCGACGCGAGGACAGTGCGGGCGGCAACGCCCCGCAGCGACGCATCTATTGCTACTACTGCGACCGCAACTTTGACGACGAGAAGGTGCTGATTCTACATCAGAAAGCGCGGCACTTCAAGTGTCCGACGTGCTACAAGAAGCTCAGTACGATCAGTGGCATGATCATCCACATCCAGCAAGTGCACAAGGAGAGCCTCAAGAGCATTCCGAACGCAAAGCCGGGCAAAGAGAGCGTGGACGTGGAAGTCTATGGCATGGAAGGCATACCAGGTGGGTGCTGCATTGCTGTTGGGCCGACTTTGTTGCGTCGGTTGCAATGGCCACGCACGATGCGAGTCAGAGAGGTTTTTGATTGACTTGCACGTGAGAGTAAACATTTGTTTTGTGTCTTATTGTACCTCTGTGGTGTTTGCTGATGCATGCGTAATGCGGGACAGACGCTACTGGAGGCAGTACGAAGAAACCGAGGCTGGATGGACCTCCTGTGGCAATGATTGGAGGATATGCTGGTCGAGGAGTACCACCGCCAATGTTTGGTGGCGGTCGAGGACCTCTACCGATGCCGTTTCCAGGAGGCATGGCACCGCCTGGTGCAGGGATGACCATGCGGCCGCCCCCACCTCGAGTTTTTGCTCCTGGCGGCGTGATGCCGCCTTCTCGGGCACCAGGCTATCCTGTGTACGGTGGTGGCATGCCACCGCAATGGCCAAGGGGACTAGTGCCACCCGGCTCGATGGGTTCTCCTTCTCAAGCTGCACTTGGCTATGCCAATCAAGGTAGACCGGTGCCTGGGATGGGTGCTGCAGCAGCTCCTTTGGGTGTGGTAGTCAGCAGTACGAACGTTTTCGATGGGGCAGCGCAGAAAGAAGTGAAAAACGACCTCGGGCTCGTGTATGCGGACGAAAACGTATCCATGGTACGTGTTGGATGCTTAGGACGCACGTTTGTTCATGAGTAGCTGATACTGAGACACGGTGTATGGCGTTCTTACAGGAAGAGAAGCGTGCACTTCGACCGAAGTACGCGTACAAACTACTAGGAGCAACTGCTTTTGCTGGTGGGAACAGAGTAGAATGAGACGAGTGCGATGCATTGCTAGCGCGAATCAGCCATCACGATGAGGTTGGAGGACCTCAGCGCGGATGAGGTTGTTTGAACGATGTTGTGCACAAGGTTTCGGCGGCGAACGAATGGTACTGTTCTTGCTCTCGTCCTCGGTGATCAAGGGATAAAGAAACAGTGGCTTTCCTTACTCACTTGCTCCCTCACCAGTTGCTCATGGTTAGCTCCCGTGTGCTGCTTTGCCGCTCGAAAGGGTGTTACATTAAAAGCGCCATCGATGTGAGTTATGCGTCACTACCATACCATACTATCCTCCCTGACTGCTACTTGTCTAGCGGTTCAATTGTTGTAGATCAACATGCACTTCGATGCGCACCGCGTGGTCATGGGACTCGATGTGTCCCATCACACGTCTGCGTAGCCGCCGTACTTGGAACAATGACTCATGAAGGACCCAGCAGTAGACCTCCGGTCGTGATCCAAATCACCCTCATGGTCGCTGTCAGCATCCGCGTTGTTGCCGGCTTGCGCGCCTGTATCGACGTCAGCCTGACTCCAGCGCTTTTTCCAGGTGGGGGCGCGGGTCTCCTTTCTGGCCGGCCGAGGGGTTTTGCTCGAGCTGCTTGTGTTGCTCGTGAACGAAGACGCGGACTTGTAAGGGTTGCGGGTACGGTTGTTTGCAGGTGCAGCCGCAGCGTCACCTCCCATTGATTGGAACTCCCTCAAGTTGAATCCCTGCCGCGCATTGTCCTCACTACGCCTGTTGCCGATGCTGCCAGTAGTAGATTGGCTGTTGTATCTCGGACGGCCGAATTCAGAGCCGTGACCCACGGTGCTATCGTTACCAGGATGGAGAATTGATCCACGGTCCCCTGCGCCTCGAGCACCAATTGAAGGTGCTGGCGTATCGTAGGTGCGAAGGAACACGTTGGACGAAGAGGCCACGGAGGTCCGATCTTCCGCCGCTGGTTCCTGCCAGTACGCTGGACTGATAGGGCCGAACGTTGGTGTCACAGCCGGCGGCTGGAAATTCCCGTCGTCCGTGGTAGTGACTTCTCAAGTAAGTACGGCGGATGAACCTGGTGTGCGTCTTCATCTCTTCTTCGGTCACGTGGCGATGTTTGCCTTTATCGTCGCTGACAACCGTATTGAGCTCGACGAAAATGCCCGTAAGACTCATGACCAGCACGAGACTCGGCATCGTGAGTGGCGTAATGACGAAGAGCGACACGGCTGGGAAAAAGGCCATGACAAACAACAGGAACTCTTCACCATCCCTGACATTGGTCGAGTCTGTCAAGTTCGCAATTTCAACGAGCGAAAACCAAACCAGGTAGAAAGCTTGACCGATTGTGGCGAACTGGAACATGCGCAGCAAAAACGTGGGGCTGTGGAACCAGAACCGGTCGTTGTGGTAATGCAGTTGCCGGTGACAAAGTGCAGACATCTGCATGCGAATAACAGCACGGACAGCAAGCGCAGTTGACTTGAACAACTTGATTCCCGTTTGGACGGAGTCCGCAGTTTTTTTGAGCCCTCTCCTGCCGATGAGTCGTGCTCCTCGCCGCTCGGGAGTCGGGTGACAAAGCAAGTGCAGCCTGTTGGCGCTTTGACGTGAGACGGCAGAGATTCCACGAGCACTTTCGTGAATCGCGCGTCAATTTCTCGTTTAGAAATGACGTGGAGACGGTCGTCTACGATCCCTACGCAAGATCTTCGGCACCTTGAAGAAAGCGACAACGTTCTCCATCAGCAGGATAAACCCCACGCCCATGAAGATCCATCGGTCCTTGTCCAGGGAAAGAGCGTTGGCAACAGGCAGATGACGATGAAGATCGGAAGTATGCGCTTGGAGGATATGGGTCATGTGGAGCAGCATGTTGCGCATACAAGGCACATGGTACTTGGCGTATGTCATGGGTTCTTCATGATGCACGTCGTGTGCATTGTAGCCACCGGCTAACTTTTTGAAGTCTGAGTGGTGCACTTGAGCAGCCGGCCGGATCCCAAATAGTCGTTCCATCTCCACAGGGTTCTTGTAGATGTACCCGCTTCGGTTCTGGCAGATGTTGTACGCGAGGATTTCACGCTCTTCCACAAGTTCCATTGCTTCTGAATGTTGATGCGCAAGCACC